ACATGAAGAAGAGGGGACACATGTTGATGAAGAAGAGACATGAAGAAGAGGGGACACATGGTGATGTAGAAGAGACATGAAGAAGAGGGGACACATGTTGATGAAGAAGAGACATGAAGAAGAGGGGACACATGTTGATGTAGAAGAGACATGAGGAAGAGGGGACACATGTTGATGAAGAAGAGACATGAAGAAGAGGGGACACATGTTGATGTAGAAGAGACATGAGGAAGAGGGGACACATGTTGATGAAGAAGAGACATGAAGAAGAGGGGACACATGGTGATGTAGAAGAGACATGAAGAAGAGGGGACACATGTTGATGTAGAAGAGACATGAAGAAGAGGGGACACATGTTGATGAAGAAGAGACATGAAGAAGAGGGGACACATGTTGATGTAGAAGAGACATGAAGAAGAGGGGACACATGTTGATGTAGAAGAGACATGAAGAAGAGGGGACACATGTTGATGAAGAAGAGACATGAAGAAGAGGGGACACATGGTGATGTAGAAGAGACATGAAGAAGAGGGGACACATGTTGATGTAGAAGAGACATGAAGAAGAGGGGACACATGTTGATGAAGAAGAGACATGAAGAAGAGGGGACACATGTTGATGTAGAAGAGACATGAAGAAGAGGGGACACATGTTGATGAAGAAGAGACATGAAGAAGAGGATTTTAAATAATAGGTGACCTTTAAGAGAAGGGTTTTCTTTGTAATAAAGATTAAAGTTAGGGCTCAGACTTGCTTTCTTGGATCCTTCATTTAATGTTATATCATTTTATAGACAGGTTATAGGGTTATAGGGTTACTTTAATACAAATAGTATTAGTGTATCCTTATCTTTATCTGCACAACACCAGCGTTTAACCAATTTATTGCAAAAAAACTGTGCAGCTTCCACGTGTTATGCATTATGAGGAAGCTTAGACATTAAACTATTAGAAAAACACCCAACCCTGCGGCCATTAAACTCCTTCAGTCATCAATGGATATTTATTTAGGATGTGTTATTACCAAGTCATCATTATTTGCTTATCCATGACTCTGTGTGCAGTAACCAGCCTACAGATGTGGCTCTGGTGGATTGGCTTAAAGCACAATGGGAGTGTCTCCTGTCAATTACACTTACACTTACACTTACACTTACACTTACACTTACACTTACACACACACACACACACAACTTTCAGGTAATCAGCTGACAGCCTCTCGAAACTGGATACTGAAATGTTCCTCTATCTCAAAATATCAGGCGAAACTGGATACATTCTAAAAAGTGGCGGTAGACCCTGTTTTGGCTTCAAAACTACATTTTTTATTGAGTTTTTAATAAAAGCGGCACTTTTTAATGATTCCGAGATTTTATTGTAATGTGGTTTGTCTTATAATTTAGTTTACAATAAAAAAAAATATTAAATAAAACATAAAACATGAATTATATCGAAACAACAGAACGTTTATTTTAATAATAACAATGTGGGATTCTACACACAAATTAAAGGCTATTTTCTATTCAGGTATTTTAGGTATTTTTTAACAGAGAATATGAATGTATAGTGTTTTAAGTGTATCTTTTACTGTATGTTATTCTATTATTAAGTAATTTTGCAGTTCTTGTAGATTGACTGTCGAAATGCTGCTGTGACAAATAATGACATAAAAATAAATAAAGTATCTACCTATCTACCTACCTGTCTACCTATCTGTCTACCTACCTGTCTACCTACCTGTCTACCTACCTGTCTACCTACCTGTCTACCTACCTGTCTACCTACCTACCTATCTATCTACCTACCTGTCTACCTACCTACCTACCTGTCTGCCTACCTGTCTACCTATCTGTCTACCTACCTGTCTACCTATCTACCTACCTACCTATCTATCTATCTACCTATCTACCTATCTACCTACCTGTCTATCTACCTACCTATCTATCTATCTATCTATCTACCTATCTGTCTGCCTACCTGTCTACCTACCTACCTATCTACCTATCTATCTACCCATCTACCTATCTACCTACCTGTCTACCTACCTGTCTGCCTACCTGTCTACCTACCTATCTACCTACCTGTCTGCCTACCTGTCTACCTACCTACCTGTCTACCTACCTACCTGTCTACCTGTCACTTAAACATCATCACTGACTTAGATACAGCATGTCATACACAAACCAGAGGAATAAATCCCAATTTCAGCATCTAGGAATTACTTTATAAAGAAATCAACCATTTCATAACAATCTGAGAGAAGCTGGAACATTTATTTTGGATTTACTGTAAGTAGCCTGCAATAAAATACACATTATGCAATGTAAATGACACATGTATAACATGTAAAACTGCATTACATGAATATTTTTTAAAAGCCTTACACAGGAATCACGGAGGATTATGTTTTATCCAGAAAATCAACTTTGAATTTCTTCAGATTTGATGTATTTTCTGCAGAGAAGCTCAAACAAGCTAAAGGTAAGCTAGGCTAATGTTAGCTTTACAGTCATCTATTACAGCTAATTATCCGATTATCATCACCAAGACATTAACCTGTCAGCGGTCTGTTAGTGAAGATACATCTAGCATTCATATATATCGTTTCCTTACGTTTAGATTCATTTAAAAACAGATGTTCTTTTTTTCTTACCTTAGACGTGTCTCAACTTTTAAAGAAGATCCGCTTCAGCATCCGGTTCAGACCGGGATCAAGCTAACACAATAACACACTCCATTTCCGCTTAGCTTTTCACAATAAAAGCCAGAATCAGAATACCGTGATAGATAGATAGATAGATAGATAGATAGATAGATAGATAGATAGATAGATAGATAGATAGATAGATAGATAGATAGATAGATAGATAGATAGATAGAATCAGCTCTAATGTTGACATTTTGAGTATTTATTCATTACTAATAGGGGGTTTATTTGTTTTGTCTATTATATGTCTTTGAAATCCTTTGAATCTTTCAATCACTTCCACTTTTCACAATAAAAGCATGCAGACATCAGACCAGCATCAAGCTAGACACTCCATTTCCGCTTAGCTTTTCACAATAAAATCCGTGCAGATAACCAAGAAAGATACTGGAATCAGCTTTAATGATAATTGTATTTATTTGTTATTAATTTCTTTTTCATGTCTATAATTTCACACAAATAACATGAAAGGAGACACGTTAATTATATATATATATTTTTAAACAGAATTAGTTTAAATTCCTTCGCATGTTAACTTTTATTACATTACATGTTACTTGCTAGACGCTTTTATCCAAAGTGACTTACATACTCAATACTGTGGACAATCCCCACAGGAGCAATTTGGGGTGAAGTGTCTCAGGGACACAACGACATGCTGACTGCAGTGGGGTTTGAACCTGTGCTCCACTGATCCGAACAGCAACGCATAACCCACTGCACCACACGCCTCCTTTTATAACGCTGCAACTAATTTTACTGACAAATTATGTACTGATCAGTGCATACATTATTTACACGCGTCCACCTTGTCCTTCAGCTGCTGCATGATGGCTTCGTGGTCATCCGGCAGGAGATCAATCATGGCATGGGCGTCCTCAAAAGCTTTCTTGGCCATATGGAAGGCCGTCTCTGGGGAGTTTTCCACCTTGAACAGGAAGACAGAGAAGGAGAGTGCCACCTGCAGGCGGGCTGGATCAATAGGATTCCTTTCAGAGCTGCTCAGGTCAAAGGCCTGCTGGTAGAAGTCTCTGGACTGATGGATCTAGTCTTCCTTCCTGTATTCAGAGACAGAGGAGGAAGTAGAATCTTGCAGAGATGGCAAGAGTACACACATCCTTTACTCAAGTAGAAGTACACACATCCTTTACTCAAGTAGAAGTACAGATACTCGTGTTTAAAAATACTCTGGTAAAAGTAGAAGTACTGACTAAACTTCTTTACTCAAGTAAAAGTAAAGAGGGCTTTGAAATGTATTTAAGTAAAAAGTACCCATAACTAGCAGCTGTTTTAAAGAGTACCTGACCTCCCTTTATATTAATAGAACAATAATGTCATTGTTAGCTAATGAATGTTTCCATGCTGAACAACGGCAACATGACAACGTTTTCATTGGTCCCTCTTCTTTAGAGAAGACCAGGAAATGATGGATACACGGATCGTGTTCAAATCAATAGGCACGCAATGACTCTAAATAATAATGATCACGCCACCAAACACACATTCAAACTAAAGGAACCAGCCTGTTTGGAAAATGTAAGAAGTAGAAAGTACAGGTATTTGTGTTCAACATCTAAGAAGTAGAAAGTACAGGTATTTGTGTTCAAAATGTAAGAAATCAAAGTAAAAAGTCGTCAGAAAAATAAGTAGTGGAGTAAAGTACTGATACCAGAAAAATGTACTTAAGTACAGTAACAAAGTATTTGTACTCCACTACTTCCCACCTCTGTTCCTGTGTTTGCTGAGAGAGTCCTGCAGATGTTCTGTCATCTGGCTTTCCAGTCGCGCTTTTATTTTGAAATCACTTCACCTAGCCCCGCCCCTACTGAGCTGTGATTGGCTGGTGCTGCTCACTGATAACATATAATCCAATCAAATCACGAGGGAGTGTTGAGGCGGAGAGTACATTTTTTAAATTGTACAGTTTTAGGCCAAATTACTGAAGAGGATAAATACATCTAAAATAATAATAATAATAATAATAATAATAATAATAATAATAATAATAATAATAATAATAATAATAATAATAATGATAATAATAATAATAATAATAATAATAATAATAATAATAATAATAATAGTAAAGTTATAATAAAAATGAAAAAATACTTATTATAATATAAATACTAATTATTATTATTTTCCTACCTGAAAGAAATACAAATAAATAATTGGACATGAAATCCATGAAAGAAAAAAGGAACAAGTAAAAAACTCCACATAACCACTGAGCTGATCGCAAAAGGTACTGTCCAATCAGAGCACATCAGCATATGAGTTCCAGCCAATCAGAGCGCAGAATGCTGGGTCAAGGCGGAAGTGTTGGGTGAAGACACATTTCCCTCTTACAGCTCTGAATCTGACCTACACACGGATAAATCAGATATTTAAAACCACTTGACTTGAATTAATACGGTTCTACATGTTATCTGGTGTCTTAGTTTGATTCAAGAAGAAGTTTCGAAGTCATACTGTTATATTATTTAGCTTTGTTAGCTTCGTTAGCTAGCCGGCCACATTCTTTGAACCGGCGGAACTTCCTGCTTTTTGAAAATCGAGATGGAGTTACAAGGTAAACAGCATGTTTAATATAAGTTATTAATCCGTTTTTGATCATGTCCTGATGTTATTTATACCTTTATGAACCACCTGCCTGCCAGGAGAGTCCGTTATCTCAGGGTTAGCATGTTTGGTTCTGGTTTAAAAAAAGTTAAGTTGTTAGCTAACAGTAAAAGTAAATCTTACAAACACAGACTGACAACACATTTATCTGAGGTGTAAAGTAACTAAGTACATTAACTCAAGTACTGTACTTAAGTTAAATATTGAGGTAGTATTTCCATTTTTCTACTTCTGCTCCACTGCAACTTTCAAGTATGTGTTACTCTGGATTATGGTACATTCTCTAAACTGGTTTAAAAATTAAATGCAAATAGGGTTTAACTTACATTTGTGAGGAAATAACCACAAGTACAGTTTTCTTAAAGCATGAGGAGATAGCACTGTTTTATCTTTTGTAAGTGGTCTATGTGTTTGGTTTGTAAAGCACTAACCTTTGTGTATGAAAAGTGCTGTATAAGTAAAGTTTGATGTTACGTCCCAGCTGTTGAGGGGAAAAAGGATCCAACACAACACACGTCAAATAAAATTGATTTGAATGATAACTTAAATGAAAGGGCCAGCAAGTAGCATTCTCTAACAAACAAAAACAAAGCACCAAATGGATTTGGCTTTGATTTCGTCTGAATCAGAAATCCTTTATTAGTCCTGCAGCAGGGACATTTACAGTATTACAGCAGAAAGTGGCACATTAGGTAAAATAATGCATGCATTAATAAACAATAAGCTAAAAATAATTAAAGGTGATGATTGCACAGTATTGCTAAAGAAGGGTCTATATTCAGGGGTGCACATAACTTTCTCAGTGAGGTACTCCGATGAGTACCTGGAGTCAGTGTTTGGTACTCCAACTTCTGGCTCCCCTCAAAGTTCCCATGAAGCCCTCTGTATCGCGAATGTCAACGGGGGGGAGGTTGGTAGTGGAGTACAGAGCTTCGTGACCACAGAGCGTGTGAACGTTGTGATCAGCTGTTTTAGCGCAGGGCTGCTGTACAGACCGACGTTAACAGCTGTCTGTGCACACGGAGACCGACTCTGTCGTCCGGTGATCTAACCGCCTTCTGGAAAAGCTTCACAAGTACGTCGGTACGCAAATGCGCTTTGTGACACAAGTGACGGTACGCATTTCAGATTGTTGCCGCGCATGCGTACCTGCGTACCAGTTATGTGCACCCCTGTCTATATTCCCCATTGCAGGTATTGCAGTCTGTATTGTGTGACTTGTTGTTGTTGTTGTTGTTGTGGTTGCTGTTGTTCTCCACATGTTAACCATGTTTTCCCGTCTCTCAGTGGGAATTGAACCGATGACCCTGGGCTCCCCGACCTCTCCCAAGCCGACCCCTGGAGCTCAGTTCCTGCCCGGCTTCCTGATGGGAGACCTTCCCGCTCCCACCACCCCCCAGCCGCGACCTTTCAACCTGGGCACCTCCATGATGGAGAGCCCAGGAACACCCCGAGGTCAGAAGGAAAACACGCTCAGATTATCAGCTGATTGTTGTTGTTGTCATTCAATCAATCAACAACTTTATTAATCCCGCAAGGGGCAATGAACACAGGCAGGAACATACAGGAAGAAAACACACAGAGAGACCCCTGGATGTGGATCATTCCAACCATAAATAGTTCATAGCATCACAATAAATAAGTATTGAGCAGGTTTACAACACCCCTGGTTTATGGAGTTCTTTCAGGTCCCCCTAATGTACCTACATTGGATTGATTTGTCCAACTTATAACTGAACTTATGAGGCAGTATACCTCTATGGAGCAGCCCAGCCCTTCGTATGTTTTTCTGTATGTGGCCCTCTGTGAAAAAAATGTGGACACAATCACAATAAGTCTGGCAGTGGCTCAGTCAGTAGGGGCTTGGACTGTGAGCCGTAGGGTCGCCGGTTCAAGTCCCCGACCAGATCTAAATATGGAGTGTGGACTGCTACTTGGAGAGGTCCCAGTTCACCTCCTGCACTGCCGTGGTGCCCTTGAGCAAGGCACCAGACACCCCCCCCCCTTCCCCCCTCACTCCCATTGCTCCCCGGGCGCTGTACAATAGCTGCCCACTGCTCCTAGTACTAGACTCCTGGTACTAGGATGGGTTAAAAGCAGAGAACACATGTCACTGTGTGCTGTGTGCTCTGTATGTGAGACCATTACAGAGGGGTTCATCCCTCCCATTCTATCTATCAACCAATCAACCAATCAATCAATCAATCAACAACTTTATTAATCCTGCAATGAGCAGCTTGTGTCAAGAACATGACGTGCTGAGGCCAGTTTGCTCTCTGCTTTCCGCAGAATCTGCTGGTTACAAAAGGAGTTTAAGTCCCTCTGTTTCACTCTGATGACCTTAGAGCAGGTTATTATTATTGTTGTTGTTGTTGTTTACTCTGTGGATTAACACATGTTTCCTGTCTGGTTCAGGTGGAATCGTCTCTGCTCCGCTGCCTTTTGTCCCGACGCCTAAAGACAAGAGTGGAGCCCCGCCTGTACGCAGTATCCATGACGACCTGGTTACTATGACCACGCCCCTAAAAACACACGGACAGGTGAGAACAAATACATAATAACAAATTAAAAAGCGTAAAAATAAACGATTCTAAAATGTAAACGTCTCACAAAAGAAATATAAATAAACCAGCAATAGAGAGTAAAAAAATATACAGATGACCGTGAAGATAAAGAACTCGTGTTAGGGGTTGAAAAATTATATACATCTTGTGAGATTTATACAAAAGTCTCAAATGTTACTTTTCTTAAGCTCAAGGAATCCTGTTAGCCGACTCTATTAGCAACTAGACAAGCATCAATCATTTCACAATACTGACAACTTACAAACCTTAAGGCAATGTTTAATTATACTGTTTTTAGGCTCAAAGCAAAACAAACATTTAAAGGTCACCTATCATGCTATTTCTAGGCAATAGCATAGGTCTCAGATATATACAAATATATATATAAAAAACATGTCTATGAAGTGTTTTGCTCAAAATACCAAACAGATCATTCTAGCCATGCCTCATATCCCTCTATTTCACTTCCTGTTTCTAAAGTGCTGATTTGGGTAAAAAGCTTTACAATAAAAAAGGAGGGGGCGGAGCTTATGCGGGACCCGGCAGCTACTGTCTAAACTAAATACTGCCGTGATGAAACGCCATATCATGGATTATCAAGGATTATCTCTGAAACAGTATGGAGCTCAAAGGCTTTCTCTCTTGCCGGTTATACCACAAGGTGAGTTCCTTTTTATTTCCTGCTTCTTCACACACATGCTCTCCAGTACAGGTTAGCTCTGAGTGTTAGCGATGCTAATGTAAACACCGACCATATTACGTCCAAAACAGTCGGCATTGTTTCTGATAGCAACTTTCTGATTGGGCCGTGGGTCCACATTTCAGATATTACGTCATATCGGACGCAAATCTGGATCAGCTCCGTTGTACTCCTGTTTTTAGAGATTTGGGTACGGAGGAAAAGAGAGAGGGTTTTATTTTCTGACGCTGCGTGAGTTCCCCGACACACCGGGGACACATGTTGATGTAGAAAAGACATCAAAAAGTGCATTTTGCATGATAGGTCCCCTTTAAAACATTTTTCCCTTTGTTCTTTTTTCAGGCTTTTCCAGGCATGCAGTCTCCTCTTCCTGCCCGGGGGGGTTCAACTCCAGGTAACATCCCATAATACCTTAACTACTACCTGTTCTACTGCTGCTAGTAGTATTTAGTCCACAACACATACACACACACACACACTCACACACACACACACACACGCTCACACACACGCTCACACACACGCTCACACACACTCGTACTACTGCCATTTTAAAACAAAGCAGTAATAATGTTTATTTATAGGTTTATTATTAGCGTTAGTAGCTGCTCTTCTTTGGAGGAGCCTCTGTCTGTACTCGTCTGTCTGTATTTAAATTTGGCTTAATGTACATTATTTTATTTCATATTCTGTTCTTGTACATATCATATTATATTTGTATATAGGCTTCTTGCACAATTTTTATTTTGTATTTTATTATATATGTTGCATTGTTGGAGGAGCTAAGGTCAGAAGAATTTCATTGTAATTGTTTTTGTCTCTGTCTCTGTCTCTGTCTCTGTGTCTGTCTGTCTCTCTACTCACCTGTCTGTCTTCAGGTGTGCAGTTGTGTCTCTCTCCAGCTCAGGTGGATCCGTTCTACAGTCAGGGAGAGTCTCTGTCGTCTGACGACCAGCTGGACCAGACCTGGATCACTGTGTTCGGGTATTTATACTGCTCAATATATACTGCTATTATTGCATAATGTATACGGTAAATACATGTAGATTAAATGTGTGTGTGTGTGTGTTAGTTTTCCTCCAGCCTCAGCCTCCTACATCCTGCTGCAGTTCGCTCAGTACGGAAACATCCTGAAACACACGGTGAGACACGAAATCCTCTCTATTCGAGTCGTATATACAGTATATACATGAATATGCATCAACACATTAACAAAGACATGGCAAGCAATGACCATCATAAAGCTTAGAATGAAGTTAGGAACAACAGCAGGTAGTCTGAAGATGTTTGAGGTGAACACAGATGTCTTAAAGAAATATAATATGAGAAATGTTTTGATGATGTCCTGATTACAGATGGCATCTCCTGGTAACTGGATGCACCTTCAGTATCAGTCCAGCCTGCAGGCCAGGAAAGCTCTGTCCAAAGACGGGAAAGTGTTCGGAGACGCCATCATGGTGGGAGTCAAACCCTGCATAGACAAGGTCAGTAACTGGAGAGAGAGAGAGAGAGAGAGGTGCAGGAATGAGTCCTGAAACCTGGAAAGAAAACACCTTTAGCTTAGCGGTGGTGACGTGAAGTCATGTGACCGTGCTGTAGTTCCTTTATAGCCCAACATTAGCCACCTTTAGCTTAGCGGTGGTGACGTGAAGTCATGTGACCGTGCTGTAGTTCCTTTATAGCCCAACATTAGCCACCTTTAGCTTAGCGGTGGTGACGTGAAGTCATGTGACCGTGCTGTAGTTCCTTTATAGCCCAACATTAGCCATCTTTAGCTTAGCGGTGGTGACGTGAAGTCATGTGACCGTGCTGTAGTTCCTTTATAGCCCAACATTAGCCACCTTTAGCTTAGCGGTGGTGACGTGAAGTCATGTGACCGTGCTGTAGTTCCTTTATAGCCCAACATTAGCCACCGTTAGCTTAGCGGTGGTGACGTGAAGTCATGTGACCGTGCTGTAGTTCCTTTATAGCCCAACATTAGCCACCTTTAGCTTAGCGGTGGTGACGTGAAGTCATGTGACCGTGCTGTAGTTCCTTTAAAGCCCAGCGTTATCTCTGCACATCAGGTGATTTTGATCCCAGTTTGAATCCCTTTTCTCTCTCTCCTCTCCTCAGAGTGTGATGGACAGCAGTGTCTCCTCTCCTCTCTCCTCCTCCGTCCTCCCCTCCACTCCTCGCTCCGCCATCAGGCCACTCAGCGCCGGCTACAAGTGCAAGGCGGCCGGCAGCGACTACCAGGTGACCTCCGACCTCAACATTTATTGAGACCGTCTAAACTGTGCATCTGGGACACTTAAAGGGGACATATTGTAAAAAGGAATGTACTTTTTGAGAACTTTTTTTTCAAAACATGATTTAACAAGCTGTTAATGTTTGCTATAATTAATGGTTGCAACTTGTCCCCAAAAAATCAGAACAGACTGAGCTTTTTTTTATAACAAGTGCTCAAACAGTATATTCAGACTGACTGTAGTTAAACACTGTTTTTTAAACATTAAACCATAAGGATGAAGGACTTAATTGATATTAAACTGTCTTTTTTTTTAAGGTAAAAATGTTGTTTTTATATTTAAATGCATCAAATCCCACATGCTATTCTAAATAAAGTCTTAAATTGAACTTTTCTTAATCTGTTAGAAACCCAAAAATAAGCATTATATGTCCCTTTTTAGAAATAATAATGTGTGTGTGTGTGTGTGTTTTAAGGTGTTAGCAGACAGACAAACGCCCAGGAAAGACGACAGTATGGTTTCCAAAGCCATGGAGTACATGTTCGGCTGGTGACAAAACACAATGCATCATGGGATACCTGCAGCCTTGAAGGAAAGAGAATCCACGGACAGATGGATGAACTGATTCACTACACTGTGTGTGAGAGTGTATGAGAGTGTGTGTGAGAGAGTGTGTGTGCTGAGGTTATTTCTCTCCTTTTATAATCAGTATTTTTTAATGTTTTTGTCTCCAATAAAGATTTTTCTCTGTGAAGTTTGTAGTTCTGTCAGCAGCCACATGGGGGTGCTGTTTAACACACACATTTATTAAAACCATTTTTTTTCATTTTAATCTTAATTTTACAGATTTGGTAGACCTTCAAACTGAACACATGAAATGTAAAGTATTGTCTTGATATGTTGTTTCAAAGTGAGTCGTTGTGAATTTTGTAGAAGTGCAAAACGAAGATGTAGAATAGATGTTTTTGATTAAAAAAAAATTGAAACATATAATCTACTAAATAGATTTAATCAAATATAACTGTTCAAACTAATATATATTTTTGTTTGTAGCAGGTTTTTCTGTATTTCGAAAGGCTGTCGAAAATGTGAGTTATTTTCTTGTCCAGCAGATGGAGCAACAGGTCCTGACAGACACACAAAATGTATTACTGACAGAACTAAATCCTAAAATAATATAATAATACTTTGGAAACATAGAGAGATATCCCCCCCCAAAAAGTAGATCTAAAGATTTTTAACTGTTTACCCGGAATAGATCAAATATTCCGATAATTTTCCTCTAAAAATGTGATTTATATATGAATGAATGTGTGAGACCACAGATCTACAGGGTTTCTCAGATTGACCCTGAATATTGCATAATGAACGTGACGGTTTTACATAACTGGTTCTTTGTACACACACCTCATCCAGTTGAGCAACATTTCTCTGAGTCACTGCACACCTGGGCCTGCCTAGAAACCCACTGTACGTCATCTATGACTCATGCATAGTAACGACAAGTTTAAACACAAGCCAAATGTGCGTGCACACACACACACACATATGGAACAACACACACATCTCAATCAGAGTTGGAACCAGTTTCACCAATTTGTAGCAACGTAAGTACAGTTGTGTGAACTAAGTACATTTACTCAAGTACTGTACTGTAAGTAAAGTGTTACGGTACTTGTACTTTACCTGAGTATTTCCATTTTCTGCTACTCTGTACTTCTACTCCACTACATTTCAGAGGTAACTGGTGTACTTTTACTCCACTACATGTATTTAATACCTTTAGTTACTTCACAGATGTGGATGAATGATGTGAAATATAATCAAGTGTTAAATCAGACTTTAGTTCCACCTGGAGTAAATCCACAAGCTACCCTGCAGTATACAAAGTCATTCAAACTAGCTGCACCTTTACCAGCTTTGAGAACACTTTCATGATCAATCATTATAAAACATATCATATATATTATTCTGAAATGGACCAATCTGCACAATGACTACTTTTACTGTCTCTACTTTCACTATATTTTGATGATAATACTTTTCTACTTTTACTTGAGGAACATTTTGAATGCAGGACTTTTACTGTAACAGAGTATTCCTACACTCTGGTACTTCTACTTTTACTCAAGTACAAGATCTGAGTACTTCTACTTTTACTCAAGTACAAGATCTGAGTACTTCTACTTTTACTCAAGTACAAGATCTGAGTACTTCTACTTTTACTCAAGTACAAGATCTGTGTACTTCTACTTTTACTTAAGTACAAGATCTGAGTACTTCTACTTTTACTCAAGTACACGATCTGAGTACTGCTCCCCCCTCTGAATAGAAGTGATGCATAGGGGGTTTGGGGATTATTTCAGCTCCAGTTGACCTCTCTCCCACTTACCTCTGGTACTTTATGCCAGTAACATATGCCCCCCCCCCCCGGCCCCCCTGTGTATAGAGTAAAGGATAAATGAGGAGAACACGCGGCACAAACAGAAGGCTGACCGCAGGTAGAAGGAATCAGAGGAGGGTGTTTGCATGTCAGAGACTTTAGAGGAGCTTATGCGTGACCCTCCTGATCTTAAAGAACATTTGGAGGCGATTAGAGGGAAACCGTTTATGAGAAAGATTAGAAATGTTCAGGCGTCTGCAGCTCTGTGAGACAGCTTCACATTTTGACAGTGTGTGTGGGAATTGGTTTTGAGTATATAGAGAATGACAGTGGTGAATTTGTACTCAGATTGAAGTAAAATAGTTGTAGTGTAAAATATTATGTTACAAGTAAAAGTTATGTACTGAAATAAAAGTACACTTACAGTACTTTAACTTCCTATATGTGTGTAAATATGTGTTATTTATTTTTTTAACTGTATAATGGAGCAACTCACAAAACCCAATTTCCCCCAGGATGAATAAATAATTCATTTTTGTTTCAGATTTGTCCTAGTTACCTTAATACCAATTATAAGCTATTAACAAATATATATACACGTATACATATACATATTATCATATAATCATAGGTTAAGATATTCAGCAAAGTAGAGTACATGAAGCATGAATAATGTTAATCCAGTTATTTCATATATGATGCTGAAACCTCGCGAGATTTGCGAAACAGAGCACCGGCCTGTGTGTTACAGAGGTGATATCTCGCGTTACTTGAATATGGTGTCTCATTCCTCCACGGTCAAACCTGCCAACAAAATATATTTTTATTTTTTTGTTCATTATAAAAATGAAGCAACCGTCACAAAAACAAATCCCCTCCTATTTAAATAAATACTTCTGTTTTTGTTTCTGGTTCGTCCTAGTAACTATATACATTGAGATTATTAGCTAATACAAAATATAAATACATATTGGCATAATCATAGGTTGAGAGATCCAGCAAGATAGAGTACTTTCATGCATATATAATGTTAAACCAGTTATTTCATATATGATTCTAAAATGGGTGATAAGGCATAACAAGTGCTATTACTTTTGCTACTTAAAGTGTATTTTAATGTACATACTTTTTACCTCTACTTTAAATGCAGGTTGTTTCTAACTTCTAAGACAGTACTTTTACGCTGCGTTTTATAATGTGTGTTTTATAACAAATACCCATTTCAACCACAACGTCAAACCGATGAAGTAACACATCTCGCGATACTTGAGCAATAGATTTGTGGTTCACAGAGGGGATATCTCGCGTTACTTGAACACTCTTGCACTTTCGTGCATATATAATGTTAAACCAATTATGATTCTAAAATGTTTCATAAGGTGTTAAAAAGTGCTATAACTTTTAGTACTTAAAGTGTATTTTAATTTACTTTTTCACTTCTTACTTTAAATGCAGGATTGTTTAACTTATAAAATACAACTTTTACAACTCTGTATAGCTTATTTTTTTTTGCTTAAGTTATTGTCTGAGTACTTCTTCCAATACTGCGTTTTATATGTAATATTTATTTTATATAGGCCTAATGTTGGCCTTTTTGTGTTTTATATAACAAATACTTATTTCCACCACTACGCCAATCCAAATGAAGAAACAAAACCTCGCGATACTTGCGCAACAGAGCGCCGGCCTGTGGGTTACAGAGGTAATATCTCGCGTTACTTGAACACTCGGTGTCTCATTCCACCACGGTCAAACCTGCCGGCAGAGTTCCTGTTTCTTCAGCTCCACACTCATCATCTTCATTTGGAAACTTAACAAACGGAATTTATATTTATATAATACAACATCGTTTTATTTATTTAAAGTAATCGTCAAGCTAACTTTTTACAGGTAACAGTTGGTAACCGTTTGGTCGAACGTAATTTGAAACAGAAATTTTTTATTAGCATTAGCCGGTTTTCGTGCTAACAAAGAAATTCCTTTTCTCTTCAGAAATAATCCCCCATTACGCTCTTTAGTTATGAGTCATGTGGTCGTTGATAATCCACACGGTCTAGATCAGCAGGTGAGTGCCTCTTTTAAACTGTTTCCATGTTGTGTTTTTCTTTAAAAATGTGGTTATTTTCCTCTACGCACATGTACGTTTCGATGAGAAAGAAGCTAATGTTAGCATAGCATTGAGCTAAAATGGAGGAGATGATTTCGAGAGGATTTTTGTGATGGCGGAGCTCGTCTTTACGACACAAAAATGCCACTTTAGTGATATATTTCACTTCCTTAAAAGGCCAACACTTGTATAGGACTTAAATACATAACCTAAGTGTTGTGGAAATGTATTTTTATGAATGGAAATGTACCCGGTTGGGTAACATTTGTGATCTTGCCGGTATCCTGCGAAGGCTAATGTTAGGCCTCTCAACCTGAAACGTGGCGCAGGAGAAAATGTTCGGCTTCGGTTTTTAGACTCCATTAATGTTTCTGAAACATAACTATTGGTTTAATTAATTAAATAAAGCAGGGACTAAAGTGATCAGTTTGTGTAAGCTACCTAACTGCTAGTATAATGGGATATTATTGAAATATTTTACATTATCTTTTGAATTTGTCTCCATTTCCCTGTTTAATGGCCATTGACTGGTTATTTTAGGAGAAGCAATGGCATTACATTTACACTCGTTGGTCTTAGGTCGAGTATCTAACTGTATATATTTGTATTCTTTGATATTCAGCTTGTTAGTTTTTACTTCTAGCCACCATTAATGATTCTGGAACATGACTCAAATGAATGTAATGTGAAGGTACTGAGGTCATCAGGCTGTATAAGCTGGTTTTACTCTTAGTTTAAATCGATATTATTGAAATATTGAATATTATCTTTTGAATTTGCCTGCACTTCCCTGTGGGCTGGTTGTTGGATAAGTTAAGTCCATTTTAAAATGGATTTGTTCTCAAAGACTATGTAATATAGGAAGAAGCAATTGCATAACATTTGTACTGACTGTCTTAAGTTGTATAACCTTTTCTTTGGGTACAATGGTTTTAAGTCACCATTAAACATCACTAAAGTAAATAAATTAGGTTCTAAAGTCCCCAGTTTGTATGAGCTGTTTTTACTCCTAGTTTAAATGGATAATACTGAATTAGTTAGAACTTGTCTGCATTTCCCTGTTTGATGGCCAGGGACTTTAGGTTAATTAAGCCAATTGTGTAACTCACCCCCACCCAAAGACTCTATTATAAGAAGAAACAATGGCACAGATGGATCTTTGGTCGAGTATCTGACTGTACAACTTTTCCATTCATTCGTTTCTTTTCTTTTTGTCTTTGGGAACAATGGTTTTAAGCCACCATTAATGTTTCTGAAACTCAACTCTTGAGATGCATTAGTAAATAAATAAAGTACTGTCACAAGTGAAGTCATCAAGCTGTTTTTAATCTGAGTTTAAATGGATATTATTGAAATAGTGTGTATTACCATTACAATTTGTCTGAATTTCCCTGCTTGATGGCCAAGGACTAGATGTTGGCTGTTGCATACATATTTTAATTTATTTGTACACTTTACCCCCAAAGACTATATGTAACATGAGAAGAACATTATTTGATATTTAATATGTTTAACAAGTCAGTTGTTTGATAAATTAATCCACTGTTTTAACACAATTCCCCTCAAGACTATATGTAATATCAGCAGAAACGATGACAATGGATTGCACAGATTGGTCTTTGGTCAAGGAGCTCACCGTTAAACATTTATCTATGATTTTCAATTCTCAAACTCTGATTTTTTTTCTAAACGAGGGAGAACGTTGTCTTAAATGTAAACATGTTTTTATTTGAACAAATTCACCATAGTGCACTCTGGATATGGCCATTGACTACCTAAGTGTAATAAATGCTTAGTGCCATGTGTGCTAGTTTTGAGATAACCCGGAAGTGAAAGTGGAGCTGAGCGCCAAACGTTTAAAAGGAGAAAAATCCTATAATCATGTTATTTCATTGATGGCCATAGTTTTAATCTCTCCTATTGTTTTACTTATAGTTTCCGTCTCGATGGTGAATGTTAACTTCAATTTGAACCAGATTGCATTCTTACATTTTCCTCTATTTTTTTGTAGCTGGCTGGCCTAGACTTGAACAACGTTGACGGCGGAGAAGGCGGAGGAACTGGCAGTAAGTATTTAAACAGATTTTTATCAAAACCGGTCAATGTTAAAACTGAGATTATCTTCATTGTGTTCTCTTGTAATTCTGTTTACTTTTTAAATAGTTACTGTTTTAGTGTTGACATCATTAAAGTTATGTATGAAATCAACATTTCTCCTGTTTTTCCAGGAAGTGTGAGATGTATTTTAAAGTAGGGAAGGCACGAGAACCGAAAGTACTTCTGTAACAAGTTGATGCAGAAATATTTCCCTGATAATTAACATTAATTTGCATTAAATCTGCAAAACTACAGTTAGTCTACCGTAGAAGTTAGCAGCCGGTAACAGAGAGGCTATGAGCTTGCATTTTTAGCAAACATACATTTTTAACAATCTCAAGATGTGTTCAAATGTAATCCTGTGAAACAATTATTTAAAGGAGATGTTTTTACAATGTAAACGGTAGTAAAATAGTTGTATTTTAAGTACATTTATTTATTAAGTTGTAAATTACACAGTGAATCTGGAATCATAGTGTTTTTATTTGAGCAATACACATTTATTTTTCTATTTCTCATATAATTAACACATTTATTTATTGATCCAGCTCTACTTGTAAAGTGTTTTCTTTGAGTGAATTGTCTTCATGTATATCTTTACCTTATCAATAATCTTAGATATCCAAATGCATCATTATAGCAATTTTTACATCGCTTGACGTGTTGTTTTTCTTCCTCTTCCCAGGGCGTTACATTCCACCTCACCTGAGAAACTCTGGCGCACCTAGAAATGGTGAGTTTAATCTAAAGCTCTTGCTAAGCCTCGGTCAAACCATCAACACGGGTTTGACTCGTGGTGTTCTTGTTAATGGTGAAAGCCCACCAGAGCATGGTGAAAGCACAGCTGAAAGAAAAGGCATTATTTCAACCAGAAAAACAAACTGAAATCTATTGTCTGATGCGCTGCGGCTACAGTGTTTTGTTGCCGTTTGAAAATGAGTTGCACAGAATGAGAGAGCCATGTCGAGTGGGGTTTTCTGTGCATGGTGGCTTATTTTTGGCTTGGAGGACGTAGGAAAAGTGGTTCTGTAAAATGGCTGTAACCCCAGATTGATCATTAGAACAAAAAAAACGAGACAAAATTCTAATTTTACGACCCGAGTTGCTCATTTATCTGCGACTCCTTTCATTGGTTATCTCAACTTCTTGCCTCACACATCTGGACAGAAGGAGTGCTAGCTATTGGCTGCTCTGATCAATCAATGTGTTTGCATCCAGGAGGAGGTGATTTAAACACATTTTCTGTACTTGTTTGAGCCGATTGAAAGGCCTTAAATCAACATGCATTCTTTGCCTGGCGTAATTGGCCAGTTAATTAAAAAATATTGAAAACTGTGTCATTGCACACTTGATGTTTCTTTCTCGTTTGACTGTTTTCTTATTCCACAGCAGGAAATGGTTATTCCGCTGGTATACAGTACGGTTATTCAGTGGCACCAGTAAACCTCTGTAAGTCCCTTCCGTCTGCTTTTCGCTGAGGGCAACCGTGCATTTCCAGATGCATGAGATAGCCATTTTACACACCAGCAAAGCCAGTGCAAAAAGGGGAGAAAGTAAATGATGGGCTCATGATTAATTGATGTGCTTTTTTCTGCTGGGATGCTTCAAAATGAGAATTACCATATAGGTAGAATATAAATTCCATGTAGCTTGCTGGGTTAAATAGTGCTTTTCTTACGCAAGGTGTCATTTAAATGATTTTTCCACCACATATGCAAGCCCATATTTCAACTGCAATGTCCCTTAAGTTTCCCCTTAGCAGTTCCCTCAAACCATGGCAGGCAAAGACACAGACATAACTATACAGCAGGATGGGATGACTGTAAGATTGGTAACTATTACTGTCAAAGTCAAGCCCCATACTCATGCTGCACGAGCCAGAAGTCATGGGAGAGTCTTTTTATAGCCTGCTTCCCTACCTTTGCTCAGGTTACCCAAGAGCTTGCCTTTTACCATGCCTACAGTGGGGGTTAGCCCAATAAATGTGGTATACCTTGACCTCTACCTGCATGCCAAGCCATCTACTTAAAGTTTCCATAGCGTACATAGCTGAACACAGTGAATGTGCCCTTGCTTTGTCGTGGTCACTTCCTGGAAAGAGCAGCAGGAATCGGGGCTAACACAGCGTTTGTTAAAGCTTGAAGTTGATGCATGGTGTCTTCGAGACTGCACTGCATAGTGGCTGTCTTACTAATACTGAGGCAATCTGTGCAGTGAAAGGAATATGTATACTTGCAGTCATGATGTTCAAAGTCTGGGTTTTATATTACAGGAAACTGAGCTTTACGTTGCCTTTGTTTCCTCCTCAGAGACAGTCCGTTGCTCACAGCATACTAAAATACTATGTGCTGCGTGCAATGATTGAGTGAATGCAGGCTTTTGTTCCAACTACTCCAATGTTCCCAGTGAAACCCCCTTTAGATATTTTGAACAACTTCTGCTCATAGTCACCTCTCTGATTGCTCACTCCTGACATGTAGTGTTTGAAAGGGACGTTTTGTTTTCGAGTTCTAAGTAGAGTAGTTTTTCTTCAGCCGTTATTTATTGTGGATTAATGTTGGCTAATGACGCATGATGCCTTCACGACTGCACTGCATCACTGTTTGCTGTCTTGCTAATAATGAGGCAATCTGCAGTGAAAGGAAATAATCAAGGTGATATGCAAGGTCAACATTTATACTCTTTAAAAAGGTTCAAAAAGGAGGGATTTTAATCTGCAAAGAAACTAAGATTACGTTGATGCATCCAACAACCCAATCACACTCAAAATTGTACAAGTACTGCGTGCAATAATTAAGTGCATGCATCCTTTATATTAGTTACTTCTCTCTGGTGTGAAGTAAGACTAACTTTGGTAAATTATCGCTGCCCCTAAATGCTCTTAAATACTCCTGACCCGTAGTGTTAGAAAGGGATATTTGTTTTTAAGTTGAGCGATTATCAGGTGTTTTCTTTTGCTTTTGCTATGTAAACATTGAATCAAACTACTTTGTCCGGTTTGTCACTGCACCAGGATTGTTCTTTCAGTAAAGCAGACTGTCTGAGGGTAATTTATAGCCCATGTGAAGCTCTTGGTTATTAAAAGTCAAAGGAGTCCTGTGTCATGTCGTCTTTGAAGCTGAGCAGTCCTGAGGGATACAAGCAGCTTTCCGAGCTGAATAAGAGCGTCAAATGACGGCAAGACGCCCCCCTGGGGGAAACGCTGGATACAAGACCCCTTTTGGAATATGTGACACTGTACGAGGGAACATATTCTTCTTTTACAAGCACTGCTGGATTCCCCAATTCCCTTCTTGCTTAGACTTATAAGTAGGGGTGGGAATTGATGAGATTGTATTGACATCAATGCGCATTTTCTGAGGTAGAAGTGTGTGTTTTTATGCATTTCCTCCCAGAGAAGCAGAAGAGTATTGGAATTAATACAAAATAATTGTCCATTGAAGGTTTTTTTTTTATGTGGTTCCTCCTTGGCTTATTGTAACAGATGTCACAGATTGCAAGCTTTCATTTCCTCAGCTTGACTAAAGGATGAGTCATTGTGCAGTACGTGTGTGTAATCACATAATTAGGCGCTCATGGTCAATTGGATATAGAAATTGACCATGGCATTCGATCACGCATTTCTCTCAGTAACATCATACTTGCGAGTTCTTTTTTTCTCCACCATGGGTCTGATTACAAACCTGAATATGGAGTTTTCTTGTTGTGGATGCACAACTGTCAGAAGGCCCTTATTAAGAATACTTATGATACTACCCAACTTGCAGTAAATGTGTTGAAATCTTTCTAACCCTAAAGTAACATTTCATTAAGACATTTACCCATACAGCATTCCCCAGAAAAGTTAGATTTCCCCCGTCATTTAAACAAGAAAAACCTGTGTAACAACATCGGGTAAAATCTTTGTAACCCTTTAGTTAGAACGCTTAACGTTAACTGGTAAATCCAACATTGCTTCAGAGAAGAATAGTTACCTCGCTATGGGTTTTGGAGTGAACTGTGACGTCTGCTGCGTTTCTGTCTGAGAACGTTTGGCTGTGAAACTGCTGCACGAGGTGCTTTGCATTGTTTTCAGCGGGCACATGCTGTACTTATGTACCTGGATTTGAAAAATGGTTAACTTGCAACACTAACTTCAAATGTCTGCACCCCACTTCTGCAATTACTCTTGCTTTTTTTTAATTGCAACTCCGCTCTGAGAGGCCCTACATACTTCTAAAACTGACCTAAATCCACATTTTTCATCACAAATCTAGGACTTTCTGGGCTTTTTGGATAATGGATAATGATTATTTTTAATCTAACTCCCTTGCATCCTTGCTCTTGTACAGGTATAGAACTTGCTTTGCATATGTTTGCCTACTTAAAATATTGAACAACATTTCCTCTGAATGTTACGAGACCTTTCAGTCCATGTTCAAGTCTTAGTGGAGTTGCTTGCATCCCACCTGTCAGTCTAAAAATAAGCCTGTCACTTTAAGAGAGAGACTAACGGCTAGTCAGGCCAATGTGAACTTGCTTTCTGACGCCGATCAGTGACGTGTGCAGCATTATGCTCTTCCTCACAAGCCTTTTTATTGTGTTTTTTGTTTTTTAAATGTGCCATCTTCCACCTGAAGATTCACCTGGATGGGACGGTGGCCGCAGCAATGGATATGTGAATGGTTATCACGACAACCGCTCTAATGGGGGCTATGGAGGACGAGGAGCCCCTCGCGATGATAGAGGTGGGCGAAACGCCTGCCGTGGTAACAGGGGTGGAGAGTCGGTTTATCAACCATTACAGAATGCAGGTGGGGAAACCCTGTCGTGCCCCTTAAAGTGTCTCACCAAAGCCCTGGTGTGTGTGGTGAGACGACAGAGTAGTTTAAAGGGATAGTTCTGATGGTTTGAAGTGGTGTGAGGTGTGAGAAGATGGTGGTGTGAGGTGTGTGAAGATGGTGGTGTGAGGTGTGTGAAGATGGTGGTCTGCACACACAATTTGGAGATACGAGTAGAAGCACAGGAGAAATAAGATTATTCTGATCAAAAATCTTTTTATTAGGTTTTGATAAGTAATGTTTGTCATTTAGAAGTGGAAAGCAAAATATATGCGTACAAATGAGACGGTCTGCACTGATTGTATGTACAAAGAGGACAAACACAGACAAACAATAACAAAGAGAAGTACTTAATTGATCCAAATTTGTTTAGTTTTTTTGCGATGCAGCAGCATAAAAAGTCATGGCATTGTACAAAAAAAAATTAAAAGACAAGAAATAAACATTCCACAATGTAAACGTCTCAATAGAGATAAAATAGCATTAGAAAAAAAAGTAGAAAATACAACACAGAAAACCACATTTTAAAGGTCTCCTATCAAGCCAAGGACCCAGAATCAGCACTTTAGTAACAGGAAGTGAAATAGAGGGATGTCTTAAATGCATGATCTGTTTGGTATATTGAGCAAAACACATCATGGACATGTTTTTTATATTTCTATACATCTGAGACCTCTAATATATGCCTAAAAATACTATAATAGGAGACCTTTAAAACAGTTTTTCTCCTGATGGGAATAGAGATAAAATAGCATTAGAAAAAAAAGTAGAAAATACATATGTTGAATTACAAATTTACATTAACGTTACATGTTAGACGCTTTTATCCAAAGCGACTTGCATACTCAATACTGTGGACAATCCCCACAGGAGCAATTTGGGGTGAAGTGTCTCAGGGACATGCTGACTGCAGTGGGGTTTGAACCTGTGCTCCCCTGATCCCAACACCAATGCACTAGTCCACTGCGCCACACGCCACGTAACAAATGTACAAAGCAGGAAATAACATGCATACGTGTGTGAGGAATGGTTTTTCTCCAAACCTTGTGCAAGCAGATCTCCATCTCCTGCAGGTAGAAGGTACTTCACACCACGCCACTTCAAAACAAAATCCCAAATATCCCTTTAAGAAGGAAGCCCTCCCCCCACCCTTGTTCTTGCAGATGCTACGATGCACGCTGACACCCTGCAATATGCATAATGGATAAATAATTAACAGTAGCCCGTGCTCTTTAGTTTTAAAAAGGGAAAGAGCTTTTTTTTTACCCGCCACCTTTGGTAAGAGAGTGGCGGCATTTGATTTCAGCTGATTTTGCAGAAAGGACAATCGCTGACGGCTCTTTATCCGCTTGTTTTCAGGTGTAGGCAGTGAAGGAAACTTTGCAGCTCCTCGTGATGCCGCCTACAACAGCTTTGGCGGACGCAACAACGATAGGTCAAAGTCCACCTTCTTCAACGACCGTGGGTCAAGCTCAAGGGGAAGGTTTGTAGGAATTATTACTTAGATAAAAAACACTCAAACACAGTATATTAATATGTCTTTATGTTGGACAAAAAGAAGGAAATGTAATCTTGCATACATATTTCTTTGGTACAGATACTCATAAAAAAATGTAAGATTAATGAGAACAATGATGCAAAAATGTGACATCTCTCAAATGTTGTCAATCACTTCGCCAAGGCAATATCAATCAGAGTAATCAGAATTCATTATTTCTTTAAAAGGGACATAATGGTGCAAGTAAAATGCATTAATAGTTAACTTTTTATACATGTCATAAACCAGAATACTGTACATTATAACAAAGTCCTGTATATTGTAATTATGTAGAAATAAATGTCAATTATGAAATTCTTATAACAGGTTTTCTGAACAAATATCCTTCATTTATTATGAATCACCAGTGATAACCTTTACATTTAAGTGATATCTCTTGAAGGCACATTTTTGTTGCGATTTGATCATTTCCAAAGAGAATAAATAGCAGCTTCTTATTCCAACGATACATGCTCAATATTCAAATGAACATTATTGGGGTTATTTTTTTAGCAGATTTGCAACCCTTAATACAATGACCATTCTTTATCTGTTTGTTTTTGTAGCAGATGTTATACTTCTAAGATGCCAAACCATGTTATAATGTTTAGTTGCAGTTCAGATATTAATAGTTTAATCCACCCTAATTGTCTACAGTTATAATCGCGGGGGTTACTCCAGCGGCGGCGGAGGAGGAGGAAACCGCTGGTCGGACGAATCCAGAGACGAAGATTGGTCCAAGCTCACCGCTCCCAACGAGCGCCTGGAAAAGTAAGATCACTCGTCAATAATCAAAACGATAATTGTGAGAAATCTCACTGGCTTGAGCTTCAATCTCAGGATCCATGTATTTGTGATCCTCTCCAGAATGGAAGTAGTCATCACATACAGAGCATCAACTAGTTCCTGAACAGTGTCCTTCACATGCTGATATCCAAGAGAGGGAGTTACACAGTCACAAGATGGAGGAATAGAAAGCAGTATTCAATGTTTACTTCAGATTAGCTCCACGTCAGAAATGAGCATGCTTGTCATATGTCTATCTCCTTAGAGGCTGAATCATCATGTTAATCACATAGCTATCATATGCCTCAAACAGTCCTGATGCTCTTCCAGGTAATCATACATCCTGTCATGTTCACAGCTACAGTTGGGATACCTTTGTTAGCATGTGTACTCATGTTGGAAGAGGACATTCAGTATTTTCCCAACAGTTAAAAAATAATAATTGTGAATTCGATGCATAACTTTGCTTTTTTCCTTTCTTTCTAGTGAGCTGTTCGGTGCAAGCAACACTGGTATAAACTTTGAGAAGTATGACGATATTCCCGTGGAGGCTACAGGAAGCAACTGCCCGCCTCACATCGACACCGTGAGTCTTTAACGCTGTGATGCATGCATTCCCAACAACAAAATAATATCAAGTGCTAGAACCAACTTCCAGTGTTGATTAGGGAGGCAGACCATTTAAGGGTAGGCTGAAGACTTTCCTCCTTAGTGCAGCGTACAGTTCGGACATCCTCATGAACCCTTCATTTTATGGAATCATTGTATTGCAGTGGCCAAAATCCTAACAGTTTGTCTCATAACTCCAAATGTTCCTTTTCTTGGCCACATGGAGAGCTTGGGAAGCAGTGTCAGACTCGCAGTAAAAAAAGCCACTGGATATTTTGATTGCTCCTTGAATGTTTTATTTCCAAAAAACAATATCACTTTGTAACGTGAACTTCAGCAGCAGATCCTAATAATCAGTTTGACTGAGAATAAGGTGGCGTGTCAATGCCGGAGGTGCTGCTAACTGTATTTGTGTCATTGTTATGTTACTATATTCTCAGATATGTTGGTTGTTTTTACATCATTCATGTTTGTTGATTTGTGAAGCCCTGTGAGACAAATGTGTTGTGATATTGGGCGAATTGAATTCCATTTCCCTAATTTGGGTTTTAATACAACATTGTGAGTCTCTTAAACTGACAGCATGTCTGTGTATCCCGTAGTTCCACGATGTTGACATGGGTGAGATTATCATGGCAAACATCGCCATGAGTCGTTACGATCACCCCACCCCGGTCCAGAAGCACGCCATCCCCATCATCAAGTCCAAGAGAGACCTGATGGCCTGCGCACAGACTGGTGAGTCCTTTATTATTAATGATATGCCTTTTTTATAAAAACAAGTACCATGCGAATGAATCTCAAACGGAGGAAAGGAGGATACGTTAAAAGCCTTTTTGCCATTTGCAGTCCCCGAGCAGAGACATGCATAACAATCAGAAAACACTACGTGGTCTCGATCACATTCACTTATATTTGCTAAATATTCTCAGTGCTTGTATTTGAGAGCTTAAAGTAGATCAATAAGTATTCCTTTTCTTCATATAAAACACTTAATAGACATAAATTAGCATTTTTAGCCACCTAACTGTGGTTTGGTTATAATATGCACTTGATCTACTGAGATGGATATGAACATAAGTTTCTGTAATACCAACCTATTTTTCTAAGCAGAAGCAATACGATCATTTTCAAATCAATATCGTGAGTCAGATTGTTGGAGCATTCATGGAGTAGCCATTTGATAAGTGGAACCGTGTGCAGATACTGATCATGAAGTCATTCACTTTCAGGATCCTGCTCACACTGTCCGGGTTATCTTTCTCATTTATGATCTTACCTGGCTCACATTGGTTTCATATTTAAATTTAAGGTAGTCTTATGGCGCATTTCCACCACACGGTCGGCCTCGGCCACGCTCGGTACGGCTTGGCCGCGTTGGGCCTTAACAGGGCCCGCTCACTTCATGCTGCGCTTCCATTACAGTTTAGGAACTGGGGTAGTTACTATAGTAACGCAGTGTAGGCGAAGCCGTGACGTCATCAATGAGAACCCCAGAAAAACAACACAGCCGTTAGCTGTTAGCACTCAGAGCTCACAGCTCCTCATATCTGTTCAGAAACTAGACAAAAGTTAAAGAAGTACAAACCACAGACTGCCTGTGTCATGGTGAATACAGTCGCTGCTTTATTTATGTCTGTAGGCCGTTGTTGTGAGTGTGGACGGTCGGAGCATATACTGCGTTAGCTTAGCCAATCTCCATTTAGAAAACACGCATTTTAAAAGGTGTTTCGCCTGCCGTCTGTCTGCAGACTTGACAAAGCATTAATTCATGGTTTTTACTAACCGGTATCAGTATGTTGTTACTTCGGCATCATTTTGAAACGTGTATTACAATGAAATCACGGTCAAATATGTCCATCTTGTTGTAGTTCTAGCCCCCTTGCCAGCGATGCTCTCTCTAGTTTAGTATACTCAGCCCGACTCAGCCCTGTTTGTTGGCCCCGATAGAACCACAATTTTGTCGGGCCAGAAAAGAGGTGAAAAAGTGGTGCCGGGCCGTAACTAGGCCTAGTGGAAACGCAACCAAAAACGGGCACGACACGGCACGCTTAAACTGCGCTCCATGGTGGAAATGCGCCATAAATAACTACATATATAACCTCCTTTCAGGCTCTGGTAAAACGGCTGCCTTCCTGCTGCCGGTGCTGAGCCAGATCTACAGCGAAGGACCCGGAGAAGCTCTCGCAGCATCGAAGAACGGAGGACAGGTACTTCAGATAGTGAACAGTGTTTGGAAAATAACCTGTATATATTTTTGGATTTGTTTGTTCTAAAATATGTTGTTTTGTGCTCAGGATAGTGGAAGGTATGGCCGCCGTAAGCAGTACCCCCTCGCCATGATCCTGGCTCCCACCAGAGAGCTGGCCTCACAGATCTACGACGAGGCGAGGAAGGTGAGGAAATCATTTTGAATTTAATGGATTTACTTTATCCCTTTTTTATTTCTACATTTTTAGTTTGCCTACCGCTCACATGTTTCCCCTTCTTTCTATGTTTTTAGTTTGCCTACCGCTCACATGTTTCCCCTTCTTTCTATGTTTTTAGTTTGCCTACCGCTCACATGTTTCCCCTTCTTTCTACGTTTTTAGTTTGCCTACCGCTCACGTGTTTCCCCTTCTTTCTACGTTTTTAGTTTGCCTACCGCTCACGTGTGCGCTGCTGCGTTGTGTACGGAGGCGCTGACATCGGACAGCAGATCAGAGAGCTGGAGCGCGGCTGCCATCTGGTGGTGGCGACACCCGGACGCCTCGTGGACATGTTGGAGCGCGGAAAGATCGGACTGGACTATTGCAGGTAAATACAACACAGAAAACCACATTTTTAAAGGTCTCCTATCAAGCCAAGGACCCAGAATCAGCACTTTAGTAACAGGAAGTGAAATAGAGGGATGTCTTAAATGCATGATCTGTTTGGTATATTGAGCAAAACACATCGACATGTTTTTTATATTTCTATACATCTGAGACCTCTAATATATGCCTAAAAATACTATAATAGGAGACTTTTAAAACAGTTTTTCTCCTGATGGAATCACCTGGTTCAAATGTGTGTGTGAGAGGTTTTGATATTAAATATGAAATGTGTGTGTGTGTGTGCAGCTTCCTGGTCCTGGACGAGGCTGATCGTATGTTGGACATGGGTTTCGAGCCCCAGATCAGACGCATCGTGGAGCAGGATACCATGCCGCCTAAAGGCATCCGACAGACCATGATGTTCAGCGCCACCTTCCCCAAGGAGATCCAGGTACGGTGGACATTCAACTATACATAGAATATTATGATCAATATCAGTTGATGAAGTTAAAATAATGTGAAGAAAGTCAGAAAACTTGTAGTTGCTTTCAACACAAGCTAGTCAAATGCTAACATAACTCTTGACTCATATGTTAAGCTAAGATGCTTGTAAATAAAACCCTGAGCGTGGAAATGTTTCCCTCAGAGAGACACAACCATTCCCTCCACACTCATCCTTTCTCTTTGTTTATTAGATCCTTGCTCGTGACTTCCTGGAGGATTACATCTTCCTGGCAGTGGGCCGTGTCGGCTCCACTTCAGAAAACATCACCCAGAAGGTGGTGTGGGTCGAGGAGAACGACAAGAGGTCCTTCCTGCTCGACTTGCTCAATGCTACAGGTGAGAAAAGCATGCGACTATATGTAAACACGTGGGTTTTTGCCTCCCCAAGAAGATCCGTTTAGGCTCCAATGTATAACTTGTGTCGTAATATCGAGCTAATATTGACTTTGAAAACATATCTGCTAACAAGTGGACAGTAAAACGTGTAAACAAAATGTCGGTAACACTTTATATTAAGGTACACCTATTCACCATCAAGTAGTTGTTATTTAACATATTCGAGTCAAACTACTAGCTTATTTGTGATGAACAAGACTTCACTTTAAAATAGGGAACATGTTCCGAGTTAGAAATACCACATTTTGAGTTATTTTGACAGAATTAACACCTGGTTAATGTCTTGTTACATAAGAATAGACCATATGAGAATCAATATTCTTGTGGTACTGCTGCCCAAAACTCATGTACAACAACTTCTTTACTTACAATAAATAAGCACTAATGGCCTAGTACTTGTAGAATATGGTCATGTATTAATAAGTGTTTTATACGGACTAATAAAGAGCCAATATACTGCTAGTATGCATGTTAGTTACCAAAATGTCATGTAGGGGTGGTGAGCGTATGCCGTGTTTTTAGAGTTTTTTTTTTAGCTTCTCATGTTAAAGTTGTCATATCTGTGAAATGAGAAGCCTTACATTTCCGTCCGCTTTGTTTTTTATCTTAGTTATTCCCACTGATGAAAATGTGCCAGAGGTTCCAGAGAAACCGGGTAAGTGTGAACATATTATAACCATTTCACTCTGACCCCCACAGAGACATCGCATCCCACAGATCATCCTGTCCCCAAGCTGTGCCTCGTATTATCGGTTTATGTTCCTCATTTTCCAATAAGAGCTTCTAGTCCCAAACCTTTCCCTGTAAATAGACCGTAGTGTTGACTGCACTCAGTAGAGGTACAGTGTGTTATTGACACAAAGGGCAGCTCAGTTTCCATGAGTCAGACGCATTTAATCCTTTTACAGGAATACAAAAGTTTCTCCTCTAGATCCAGTTCGAACACACAATAAATGTTGGTTTTAATGGTTTGTGTCGGAGCACTCCCTGCTCATTTCCACTTGGTGTAAAGTCACAAACACGGGACTTCTACTTGGGTGCAGCTGAAGCTATGAAAAGACACTGTAATTAAACACACACTTGTCTGTGGGGTTAAGCAGAGTTTCTGTTATCAAAAAGAGAAATCCAGGCAAATATTACCTGTGTTTATTGAGCTTGAAATCGGTGCATATTCAGGTTATAGCCTATAAAGAAAGGCCTGACGAGTTATATAACTTTATTTTGAAGGGGCTATACAAAGGCACTTTTTAAGTAAAGCAAGGCTGTTGGAATTTCTTCCGTTGACATGAACAGAAACCCTGCTTTACCTGTCAATTATTACCTGGATGTATTGAGCTCAAAGAAACGACTTGAATGCAGGTTATAGCCTTTTAAAGAATGGCATAATTGAAGCATGAAGATTCACTTCTTTAATACAAATAAGGCAGGTTTTTAGACAAACATTGGTGGCAGTATCCCATCACGCTACTTCCTCTAATCTCAGCCATTTTAAAGATTTAATAATTGTTTTTAAACTAAGGGTGTCCCTTTTTCAATCCTTCAAAGGAGCATAATGATGCATCTTAGTAATGTGTGCAGACTACCTACAGCCAATGTTGTGGTTGGAGAGAGAACCATTTATTTTAATGCAACTCCATTCCATAGTTTTAAGTTCCTGTTCCCATCCCGTAGTCCCACATCTCTGCCCTTTGACCTCCTGTCGTGAATGATCTTATGTTTTCTCTCTTCTCCTCTCGCGCCGCTCAGGTAAAGAGTCTCTGACGCTGGTGTTCGTGGAGACCAAGAAGGGCGCGGACGCCCTGGAGGACTTCCTGTACCACGAGGGCTACTCCTGCACCAGTATCCATGGAGACCGATCCCAGCGAGACAGAGAGGAGGCGCTGGCCCAGTTCAGATCCGGACGCTGCCCCATCCTCGTGGCCACAGCTGTGAGTCATCTCTTTAGTTAGTTTAGTATGGCACCTTTCACAGAAATAGAAGTGCTTCACAAGAAAGAACACAAGTCATTTCTTATATTTGTAATAAGCAGTAAAGGGGTTGTTGATAACCGATATATTTCTAAAAGCAACATTTAGTCACACAAAGATATTGATGAATCTAAATGATAGTATTTACTTCCTAATCAAATTGTCAGGATATGAGATTAGATATGAATACATAGCAGCAATATTAATTATAAAAGCATTTTGGTCATTGACATCCCAATTTCATCACCTTCTTGACATTTAATCTATATTTGTTTAAATCTCTCCCAGGTGGCTGCCAGAGGTCTGGACATCAGCAACGTGAAGCACGTGATCAACTTCGATCTGCCCAGCGACATCGAGGAATACGTTCACCGTATCGGCCGTACGGGACGTGTGGGAAACCTGGGTACGAAACAACTCTTTACTTTAAAGGGGACCTATCATGCAAAATGCACTTTTGTACGTCTTTTCTACATGAATATGTGTCCCCGGTGTTCCAGGGAACTCACCAAGTGTCAGAAAACACAACCCTCTCTATTTTCCTCCATACCCAAATCTCTAAAAAAGGGGCTGCAACGGATCTGATAAAAACTGATCCAGATTTGAACACTGTCCTGACGTCAGGACGGTGGCACTACGGCTATTGGGCCAACTCCACCAATCAGGAGGAGACAGCCACGGCCATTGCCGTTAGAAAGCGCTGGAGACGCTGTAGTACATATGCCAGGCCTGTAGGTGGTGCTGTTCTCACAGAATCAGCCCTTGCAGAGCTAAAAAAAAAAAGTGCTAAAATGCATGATCTGTTTGGTATTTTGAAAACAAACGTATAAATATGCCTTATATAGGTATGGTCCTACACTATTATTCAAATATAGCATGATAGGTCCACTTTAAACTAAAACACACTTATAAGGCCTTTTTTTAATAGGATGGGCATGGGCAAGTCGAATGTATGCAATGTATTGAACGGGTGACCACAGTTTGAACAGTTGACAGCTATAGTTGACCTATGATACACAAGTTTAACTTTGCATAGTTTGCGCTCCACATTGCTCCGTTTAGACGCCATGTTTGTTGTGTAGGACTCACCGTTGTGAGGCACTGTCGTATACATTTTATTAATCCATTTGATAGGTCTGCACGATATTGGAAAAAACTGATATTGCGATATGAAAAAATACAGGAATTGAAGAAAAGACCGGTTTTTCCTTTCTTGAACTTTAATGCTATACAATTGGTATTTTTCTAACTATATTTAACCGGATGAGGGATTTTAGTCACGGACGTCTGGATCTTAAGTTATCAGAGCAACAAGCTGAGCTAGCTCGGTTAGCAGCGCCGAACTGGAGAAACACATGAAACTACTTCATTCAGTGTTTTGACCTTTTAATCACCCGGTCCGTTTGCTTTAGAGATTTGGTTGTGATTGGTGATTGGTGGTTTGCTGTCACTCACTCAAGGACCCCTGACATGAGAGCCGCACGAGTTTTCCTTTTGTAGCAAGCAGCAAAAGAATTGTAACCTGACGTGTTTGAGTTAATTTGCCTACTTAATATCGCACGTCCTAAACAAAAATATGTATATATCGCGCGCCATGCGATGTGAATAATGCACATATCGCGATTATCGTCACGACACGATATATCGTGCATCCCTACCATTTGATAATATGTAATCAACTTAGGCACCCCTCATTAAAAATATTCATAACTCGAATACATGAATCATTTCGAATATTCGATTAATCATTCCCATCCCTACTTTTTAATAACCATTACTACTTGATGTCCGACTGTCTAACCTCGCTCTGTTTTTCTTTGTTCAGGTCTGGCCACGTCGTTCTTTAACGACAAAAACAGCAACATAACCAAAGACTTGCTGGACATCTTAGTGGAGGCGAAGCAGGAAGTTCCCTCCTGGCTGGAGAGCCTGGCCTACGAGCACCAGCACAAGAGCACGACCCGAGGGCGCTCCAAGAGGTACGGCTACTCTAAGAAGATCACTAATGTCACTGTGGACACACTACATCTAACTTGTGGTCTTAAACATAAGATGGTTGTGCGTTTATTTTAAACAAATCTTCCCAAAACACTTCAGATTTGATAGTTTATCCCACATAAGACTGCTATACTCCTGAGCCTTCACATCATTCATCTCTTTGCGTCCCACATATTTATCTGTTATTACATTAAGCAGTATTGTATTTCACTGAGGGCGCTCCAAGAGGTAAAGTTACTCCCTAAGAAGAGCACTAATGTCACTGTGGACACTTTATATCTATCCATCTATCCATCTATCTATCTATCTATCTATCTGTCTGTCTGTCTGTCTGTGTAAAACCTCCTGTGTGTTAAACGACTCAACTTCTGATCAAACAGTTTTACCCCACAGGACTGCTACACACCTTCATATCATTCATCTCTTTGCATCCCACATAGTTATTACAATAAGCAGTATTTTATTTCACTGAGGACTCCAAGAGAAAAACAACAAGTTCCTCCTCTTAGAGAAGCACCAATGTCACTGGACACTTTATATATCTAACTTGTGGTAGAGAGCATTTTTATTGAGTTTATAGATTTCTTTTTTTATCTTCACGGTCTACTGTATTTTCTACTTTTCAATGCAGTTCTAGTATTGTTTATTTCTACTCGTTTATGCTGCTGCAACGCAAACAAGTCCCAATTTGCAATCAATAAAGTACCTCTTATCTTATTTATCTTTTAGAAGTACGCTGGTTTTGCTCCTGTGCATTTATTTACCTTTGCATTTTAAATGACTCGACTTACATAAGACGGCTATACTGCTGAGTCTTCATACTGTAGCGTAGGTGTTATCCCTGAACGAATAGATTTAATTTGGTTAAACACGCAAAAACAGAGGGATAGCCCGGTGACTTGGCTACTGAAGTTTACAAAGGAACAATAATAATCAACCAAGTCACTTTCAACAGAACATTTCTGTATTTTTAACCCCAAATAATAATCAGTACATTAACCTGTTACGCACGGCCCCCCCCGGTACCGGGCGGATAAACGCGTCATTTGCAGGAAACAACGTCTTAGGAATCTTAATATTTAATAAAACTATGAATGTTTTATATCCATGCAACGGGAAGAAACTCAGCTAACTGATCTTTTTAATTTTAAATTCCAAAAAAAAAACACAATGTTAGCACTCAGCCTCTGAATTAGCCACGAGCGAAAAAATTTAACTTAAAAGGGCACTTAAACTCACTCTAACTCCCTTGTTACTTATCCTAGATGCACAGCCAACCACTCGTTTTTGGTGTCCTGGAGACACTGAATCTAACGGTGCCGTCCTCAACACTCAGTGATAAACATTCGCGGCGCTATAAACGAAAGCGTACATCATAACATGTGGAGCTAAGTAGCTAGAAACGCTAACATGGCTTACCTTGGTCAAAACTGGTCTTCAATGGCATTCAAACGATAAAAAAAACGATGCTGCAGTTAATCCATAGGTTCATCCAATGTGTCTGTGTCCTCTTTGAAATGATTTCTGATAATCCATAAGCAATAAAATTGCTTTTTTGTTTCCAAATGCCAGAGCTAGAATGTAGCTCCACTCTGCTGCACATTTACATGCGCGCAGCCCCCACCTTTTCTCTTCACAGTGTGTGTGTGTGTGGGGGCCTCCCCCTTCGATTCTATTGGCTCTAACGGTCAGAAAGAGGTGTCAACCATCAAAATCGAGCAAGGGGGACCAGAGATATGGAAAAAAAAACATTTTCACCCAAATCACCTCAGAGGTGGGGTGGTTTTGGCTAAATCTCTCTAAAAAGGTCAAATGTCACTTGTTTTGCATCAATCTTGATACAGGGTACTTATTATATGTTGTACTTTGGATTCCTAAAGCTTTTAGTCTACTAACCCATCATCCAAGGGTAGTTTTCACTATCTGTAAAAAATAATTTTTGGACGGACACTATAATTTACAGTTTTTTACTATGTTCAATCTGAATTTTCTTTAAAATAAAAAACATCTATATTGATTCTGACACTTCTACATCCAACTCACAGATTGTAACCTTGCTTTGATAAAAGAAATTATTCATATAACCCTTTTAGAAGTTAAGTTGTAGTCATTTGTTTTGGGCATGTCATTTTCGAGCCTGAAACATGAAAAATAGGCTAGGTGCTTAACAGGTTAAACAAACAACTCCTGTCACAGACCATTTACCAGAAAAACTTAAATCCAGTAGATACAAAAACAAATAAGTCACATTTAACTCACAAAACATCAATCACTTACTCCGAGAGCCTACGATTGGTTACATCATGGGGGGGGGGGGGGGAGTATTTTTTGTGTCTTTTATATTAGTTTGATGTCTTATATATATTCATGTTGGAGGAGCCTTAGACTTAATGTTGTCGTTGCATATCTACACTGTAGCTGCTGAGCATATAGACAATAAAGTGCTTTGAACCTGTACCTCGAGATGTTCTGTGCATTTAACGACAACGCTCTTATTTCTCCTGCAGGTTCTCCGGTGGTTTCGGAGCCAGAGATTACCGTCAGACGCCCGGAGGCGGACCCTCCAGCTTCACTACGCCCCGTGGAGGTCGCAGCGCTGGAGGAGGCCGTGGATTTGGAGGAGGCGGAGGTAAGAAACACTTCCTGCTTTCACGATCACACAGTTTTGACAACATATTGATCATTTTGAGAAGTGCCTAATCTTAAAGGTCACCTATTGTGCAAAATCCACTTCTTCATATATCACGGCCTGAAGTGAGCTATTGCGTTTTTTTTTTTTTTTTAAACGGTTACAAAGTGTGACAATATGAAAGAAAAATACACACACCAATTCTAACCTCTCGTCTTTTCACTCTCTTCAGGTGGATTCGGTGGTGGCGGCGGAGGAGGCTTCTACGGCGGAGGAGGAGGAGGAAACGACGGCGGTTACGGAGGAAGCTACAGCAACTCTGGCAGCGGCACGGATTGGTGGGGGAACTAGTCGCCGACAGGAACGGGTTGCCTTTTTTTGCCAACCGCACCCAATGGAAACCACATGTTAACTTAAAGGCCAGACCATAACTAAATAAAAAAACACACCCTTTACCCTGTGTAGCTTCACTGACACACAGTACATTACCAACCCTGGTTCTCTGCCATTCGCTTTCCTCTACACAAAGGGAAAAGTGCAGCAAAGCAGCGCTACGCTAAAAACAAGAAAACACGGAAAGCCACCAGCAGCACAGAGACTGCAGCGCAACGGGAGAAAAACAGAGAAACGCACCTCAGAGCGAGCATGGATGCTGACGTTGCAAAATGTCCGACAGCAACTTCGGACTTCTTTCATTGTTATAAAAAGTATTTTTGTTCTTTTTTGTGGAAATAGGGCGGGAAGAAACAAATGGAAAGAACACCTGAGGATCATTTGTATGTTAATGTACTGTGCCTTCTGGAATTTAGACAGGAAATATACATATATATATCTCCATGTTTTCATTCCACCAGATGGCCAAGAGCTTTCTCTCTCTTCAACAACAAAAATAATTTGATTTTACGATATTTGTTTGGTGAAAAAAAAAGAAAAAAGGTTAAAAAAAAAGAAAGAAATAAGCAAATCCAACCTTGGCAAACACGGGGGTATTGTGGTTCTGACGTCATGATTCCATTTGAACTTCAAATTTAATCCCAGGAACATCTCGTAGCCTTTTCGATAGTCTACAAACAGCTAATGGAGCCATTACCAAGTCTAACTCCATCTGGGCCGCTCCGTGAAGCATTTTAAAATCCGAAGGGACAACGCTTTCTTTGTTTTGCTCACTCTATCCTGGACAGGCTCCTTTGTAAATGGATCGTCTTTGAAAAAGCCATTCCTGATGTAATCTTAAGAAACACGAGAAGTCACTAAAGCTCCGACGCGAGAATCGAAGCTCCAGCGCGTTTCAAAATATTGACTTGACAGTGTTACGGCAGCTAGTATGTTACCAAGTGCTAGCTATCGTTAAAGTGGGCGGTGTTTTTTGTTTCTTTATTTTACTTGAGACATTTTTGGTGGTGTGTTGTGAAATCAAAAAAAAAAAAAAACTTTTTTTTTTTTTTTTTTTTTCCTGAAAACAAAAAATGCCTGCCATCTTTGAAAGTGAAGTTCAAAATGGCCGCTGCATAAAGGACCACAGCATCGGGGGGGCACAGCGTGGTGTTAGTGTTTACTGAATCAGCCGCTGACGGGGGAGGGGGGGCGGCCCCATCATTGGTATTCTACGCTTGCAAGTGTTTTGTTTTTTGGTCAAGGAACAGGAAGGACACGAGAACTGAGTCGCAGGCTTAACTTAATTACAAACGTTTTCTCTTTTTCAAGCTGCGTTGGAGGCAGGGTTCATCACTGAGGTTTATCGGGGAGAACAGCGCAGGGTAGAGCGACACTTTTCCTCCTGAAAAGATTCAGTCAGTGCATCGTTATCGTCGCGGCCTTGGCTTCCCCATCGCCGCGCTGTGACACTGTGGAGGCGGCCGAAACATGACGGGCCGTTTCCTCTAAATAAAGTCAGGTATATAAAACTCTGTGGCTCTGTGAAGCCAGGCTTTTCCTCTCAAAGAGGAGCAGCCAATCGAGAGGGGGAGACAACGCTCCTCATCGGGTGCCTTGAAAACCTTTATTTTGTTTTGTTTTTACTTTTAAGAAATTGATCTAAAAAGCGGATGCACTGGCTAGTGTTGAGAACTTGAGATTGAATGGTGCTACTTGATTTAGGCCCTTGTTCGTCGTCGTCGTGCCCATCAAGTTTTACAAGAAAGTTCTTTTATTGCACATCTAGAGTTTTATATAGATGTCTTCTTGGATATGTGTCCTTAAAGCTTCCAAATATTGTGTGTGAGGAGATTGTGAGAAAACGACGCAGCTTGTTTACAAAGGGGACAGGTTCTCAACGTTTAAACCAGGATTTATTTGGGACCAGGGGATTTAGCAGTCTTGGGGGGAATTTAGCCATTTGCACAGATTTCTAGATTCTACTTTTGCTGCTAGTTTTGTGTAATTTATTAAGCATTTTTGACAAATATTTATTTTTGTAAGCCTCAAAGTGATTCTTTGAAAGTTTCAGAAACTTGACCAAAAGACAGTACAAAAAACACTGGCACTTGAATGTTGAATGTCACCTGTATGCGTGAAATTTATATATTTCGGGGTAGTGTGAGCTTTTTAATGTTTAAGATACATTGGACTCAGTAAATAATATCCACAGCTGTTTTCAGGGCCTCCTCAGGGCCGCTCATCTTATCTATATATATTAATTGGTCAACAAAATTTGAAATGGAATTGAACCAACATGCCAAGGTTTGGAAATAAAGCTGTCAGAGCATCAAAATCTCCTGAAGCATATCAGTGCTGACTCTCCAATCGTGTGATCTTATCTCTAATTTGACCTGATGATTTTCTCCAGTGAATGTCTGGCACATGGCAATCCTTAAAGAAACAAACATGTGGTTTATTCTCATTGTTGTATTTTGCATATATGACGCTTCTGGATTTTTTTTTTTCTGCGTGCACGTGGAGAACGTCGTTGTTTATCCTGCGTGAAAAACCTTCGAGACGTTCTCCACGTTCCCTCGGAGAACCCCGGAGCTGTTTAGACGTAGACTTTGCTTTCTGTATTAGCTTAGAAGCTACTTGCACTGCATGGGAAATACTCAGCTGTGCAAACAAATTGTTTGATTTTACCAAAATAAAATGTTTGAATGCAAAAAAAGTTCTCCTGAAAACTCCAGCATGTTTCCACTGTTTCCTAGAATCTGTAGCAGCAGCTGGTTTAGGACGGGCTTCATTTCCTTTGGACTCAATATAAAGTTTTCATTTGTAAATTCAGCTGTGTGCTTCGTGTTTTGTCAAACCAGGGTTAGAGGTTGGAGAAACTTGATGTCACTATTTTTCTCAAAATGACCCGTTAAAAGGGGTTGAATCTTAGACAAAGGAGTCAAAACATTATTGGGATTTCTTTATTTACCTGCTTATAAAGATGTACAATTAGCAAAACTATTTTAGGGGAAATTAAGAAATATTTTGGACAGACTAGACAAAGCTAGCTACAAATGTTAAACGAGAATAATTTAAAATGTGTGGATTGTTTTGTCAAACCAGGGTTAGAGGTGGTAGGATTTATTCACTTTTCACTGTTTTTTCTCCTTAATGACCCGAAAAAAAGGAGTTTAATCTTAGAAAATGAAGTCAAAGCCTAACTGGGATTTCTTAGTTTACTTGCTTATAAATATGTACAATTAGCGAGAGCATTTAACCCCTGAGACTGTTTTTCAGGTCTCAGGCTCGAAAATGACATTCCCAGAACAAATGACTAACTTCACTTCTAAAAGGGGTAAATGAATAATCTTTTTTCTCAAAGCAATGAGAGTTGGATGTAGAAAAGTCAGAATCAAATGGCGCGTTCACACCGCAGTACTTTTCCCACTTTAATTCCGATATAGTTCCGAAATGTCGCGTTCACACCAAAAAGAGCCAGAACTAAAATTAGTTCATGAGAACCTTTTTTACCCCCTTGTTCGTCCCTGCTAGAGAGCAGGTACTTTCGTGGGAGAAAAAGGTTCCTATGTCTGATCGGCTGGGCGGATTGCAAACCACGCCCTGTAAAACTCTGTAAAAAAAAAAAAAACTTTTGTGGAGCCGCCATTTTATTATCCTCGCATTAGCATTATTAGCATTAGCATTAGCCCACCGCAGAAACGCAGAGAGACTAACTTATGGCAACACAAGATAAAACATGGGAGCTGTGGAGAGATGAGGTGTCGGCGTTCTGGCGATTTACTCCGAAGGCTTCAGTAGAAGCTGCTGGGAGTCCCAGTTCCGGTGTGAACGCGATCTGAACTTAGTTCATGAGAACTAAAGAGTTCTCATGAACTAAGTTCTGATGAACCTTTGTGGGAAAAGTACTGTGGTGTGAAAGCGCCTCATATAGATGTTAGATATGACGCGTTTGACGTATGACGTTTAAAAAAAAGCAGTTTTTAGTAGCAGAGCTCAAAACGGCTCCTTTCCCTCTGAATTCTTGCCCTTATGTCTCGTAAAATATATCAAATCCTGCATTAACTTTTTTAATTGTAATTTTCAGGCAAGGTTAAGAATAAATGTAGTAAAAAAAAAACCCTGCAAGTTGCTCTTTAATGACCCGAAAAAAAGGAGTTGAATCTTAGAAAATGAAGTCAAAGCCTAACTGGGATTTATTCGTTTACCTGCTTTTAAATATGTACAATTAGCGAGAGCATTTAACCTGTTAAGCCCGAGAGGACCCTAATCCGGGTCTGGCGGCTAGTTTTTTCACGAAACTGTGTCTCAGGGCTTCTCAATATTTAAAAACCTATGAATGTGTCATACTCACTTAACGGTTAGAAACTCAGCTAACTGAAGATATGAACCATTTTCACCGAAACAAAGCACAAGTCTCACAAGACGCATCTAAATTAGCCCTGAGCGGAAAAATGCTAACGCACTTAGCACAGAACTCACGGTATAAATACCCTTATTACTTATCGTAACTGCACATCCAATCCAGCGATTAGCAAACTGAGATTCCACAGATTCCAGAAATATCAGTATCATCTCTGAGCGATCAGAACTCGCGGCAGGGGAAGCAAGCACAGACATCACAACACGTAGCTTCACGCCTTAGCTGTTATTCTGATCAAAAGTCGTGTTCAATGGCATTAAAACGATAAAAACGCTGCTGAGGGTTAATCCATAGGTTAATCCAATGTGTCTGTCACTTTGAAATTTACATTTTGATGAGGCCCCCTCCGCCAGGTGAGGCCCCCTCCGCCAGGTGAGGCCCCCTCCGCCAGGTGAGGCCCCCTCCGCCAGGTGAGGCCCCCTCCGCCAGGTGAGGCCCCACACAGTCTGCGTGATCGGCCTGTAGGGAGGGGCGGCCCTGCCCTAACGTGTAAACTTATACACACATTTGTACCAGTGCTTTTCACAAGTACACTCTTGCAGGCCAGAGGAGCTGGAGTGAGTCAACAACAACAACAACAACAACACAAAGGACATATCTGAAGTGATCAGGAAGAACAGAAAGAGGAAAGGAAAAGAGAGATGAAGAGACCAGGAGGGTCAGAGCAGGAGGAAGAGGAGGAGATGAAGAGACCAGGAGGGTCAGAGCAGGAGGAAGAGGAGGAGATGAAGAGACCAGGAGGGTCAGAGCAGGAGGAAGAGGAGGAGATGAAGAGACCAGGAGGGTCAGAGCAGGAGGAAGAGGAGGAGATGAAGAGACCAGGAGGGTCAGAGCAGGAGGAAGAGGAGGAGATGAAGAGACCAGGAGGGTCAGAGCAGGAGGAAGAGGAGGAGATGAAGAGACCAGGAGGGTCAGAGCAGGAGGAAGAGGAGGAGATGAAGACATTAGTGAAGAAGGAGAAATGTATGTGAGGAATAAAGCTGAAGTGTCAGAAAGAGGGCCAGAGGCAGGGATCAGGAGGCAGAGGAGACTCCAGCTGGACCACATGGTATGTTCTTATTCTCCTCACATATTCCTTTACAGCAGCACAATCTAGCAGCTCTTAGTATTGACACATATGTATTGAAAGTATTGCTGCACAGGTCACCTTTAGCTCTCTGAAGAGATGGGTGATGTAATTTGTGTACTTAAGTATAACTAAGTACTTTGACTGTACTTACAGTAAACAGAGTTCTAGGGTATCACGAGTACTTCCTGCTGTTTTATACGATATGTTAGTTTGTTTGTCTAAGTGAACACCTTGTTTCTCTTGTGCATTAAGAACACTTGTGTTAGGGCATGATTTAACAATAAATAGGTTATATATATATATACAAAATACAACGTACTGTCCACCCCCCTTTGCCACCCCATGTAAAATGTTCTAGAACCGCCACTGTTTAGCAGCCAGGTATATATTGCACAGTTTTTAACGGCATATATATATATATACAGGGTTGGGTGAAGTGTTTTGCCCAAAATACCAAAATGCCTCATCTGCACTTTTCCCCTAAAAATGAATTTTAATCAATACTTTTAGATGTAAATGGTTTATTGTATCATTACTATGGGTCTCTGAAACAATCAGACTTTTACCACACTGTTATCAGACTTTTACCACACTGTTATCAGACTTTTAGCAGACTTTTAGCAGACATTTAGCACTCTTTTCCCCGCTGAAACGACTTTAAATCATCAGTGTCACTATTGTGGGGATGTAGGAATGTACCTGTGCCTGGTGTGGAGCCTCCCCGCACTTTAAATCAATTGATTTGCTTTTATTGATCGTATTTTCTACTGTGAATGCACTGTGCTCGTGTTGGGTGATGCGCTCCCTGGAGCCCTCCTGTGGGGAAACTTGGAACTGCACTTAAATCACTTGGTGCTTTTTAAGCATTTTAAAATAGTTTTCTCACTTTTAAAATACTTTCTGCCCTAGAAATTATTTTTAATCAGTATTACCATTATTTAGGGGCTGCATGAACACGTATTTGAGCATCCCTGCACACTTTCCTTCTATTTAAAACACTTTTCAGTGAGGTGCTGCAGCCTGCTTCTCTCCTGTTTCTCTGCCCCTATTTAAAACACGTTTCCTCCTTCCAACTTGCTAGAGGTGAAATCTCTATTTCAGCCCTGATTTTGGCACATCTTGTAAATTAGTTAAATGTAGCTTTGTGTTTTTATTTAAAGGTAGGGTAGGTAAGTTTGAGAAACCGGCTCGAGATACACTTTTTGTTATATTCCATGGAATGCTCTTAACATCCCGATAGCAATGAATATCTTAAGGGCTTTGACAAAAAATCCATAAAAGAATTTCATCTGTGGAAGCCGTAATACTGTAAACAGCACGACCAATCATCTGAGCCGGCCCGGCTAAAATAACTGGATGGCCTACCTGCCTGTCAGCCTTCCATCTGTGCACAAACTGATCTCGTGCCCTCATTGGTCATGTGTGCGTTCGTGTGTGTTGGAGGAGGGGCTCTGTAATGCTGCGTTCACACCGGACGCAATGCGAATATTCGCTTCGCTCTAATCGCTCGAGTTTCACCGCGGCTGCCAGCTGTGTTTACTCGCATCATTCAAACAAGACGCGCTGGCTCGGGAGCTACAACTACAACAAAATGAACATATTTTACCGTGATTAAATTGTAATACACGTTTCTAAATGATGCCGAAGTAACAACATACTGATACCGGTTAGTAAAAACCATGAATTAATGCTTGACAAGTCTGCAGACAAGACGGCAGGAGAAAACTCTTTTAAAATGCTTGTTTTCTGAATGAAGATCGGGTCAACCAGGCTAAGCTAACGTTGTATATGCTCATTCCACACTCATAACAACGGCCTATACAGACATAAATAAACCAGCGACTGTATTCACCATGGCACAGACAGTCTGTGGTTTGTACTTGTTTAACTTTTGTCCAGTTTCTGAACAGATATGAGGAGCTGTGAGCTCTGTGTGCTAACTGCTAACAGCTAACGGCTGATGTTGTGTGGTTGAACGTCAGTGACGGCGGCTGAGATCCTCACCGCTGATTGGCTTCCGCGAGAACGCGTCACGTGAATTTGACGCTCGAGTTGAAAAAATTGAACTCTGGCATTTAACACGGCACCGTTCAATCGCCTCAATCGCGTGATTCGCGCCGCGTCCACCGCTTCATGCGTGCCGTCGGAGTGAATTCGCGTCTGTCCGCGTCTCTGCATTGACTTTACATGTAATCGCGCCGCCCCCAAACATCGCATCGCGTCCGGTGTGAACGCAGCATAAGGAAGTGGCAGATTTTCTCCGGTTGTGTATTTTCAAATTCTAGCGCACTCAAGCTGGTTTCTCAAACTTACCTACCCTACCTTTAAGTCGCTGTTCAT